TGTGGCCAATCAGAGAAAAGGTCTCCGGGCAGCCTACGTGGTGACTCTTCTCTCCTGAGGATGCAGCCACCCACAGTTAGGGCTGCCCAAAAGTAGGGGCCAGTAAGCCAGGGCTGCAGGGGAACAAAGGGGGTGGCTGAGAAAAGAGACATTAGACAGAGAAAAGTGGGGTAGCAAGGGCTTCAGATCCCCACTGCTAGAAGAGAAAGCCAAGGACTTTATCATCTGTCTCCTTCACTGTATTCCCCAGCCCCCAGGACAGAACATGACACACAGTAGGTGACCAATAAACATGTGATTTTGTTGTAAAACAAAAATAAACACGATAGCTGGGGGAGGAGGAGGAACCTCAGCAATGTAGAAGAGGCTGGAAATTATAAAAAGAAAAAACTTTTTTTAAGAGGCGAAGAAGAGAACACTGAATCCTAATTTTGGGGAATAAAGTACTACCATGGGCCCGGAGAGTTGTGGTTACACAGACCCCCTCCTCCATCCAAGACTGATGAGTAGTTCCTCTCTGGGTTCCCTGGAAACGTGGGTGGCAAGTGAAGAGGCCCCCAAGCTGATGCTGACATAGTCAGCTGTGAGTGCACGCCCCTCACTGTCACGTGGCCTAAGCTTTCCTTAACAAGTGTTCCCCATGAGAGGGTGGGGAGGTGGGCAGGGCAAGGGCTCTGTGGAAAAGTTGGACACAGGAAGATTATAGAATAACCGAAAAACAAACAAACAAAACAAAACAAAATAAACACAGGAAACAAAGGATTCAGGAGACTGGATTTTTGTCTCTCCTTGAAATGTACTCCCAACTCAAACGCTGTGTCCGGTCCCTTGTCTCCTTTTCAGACAACTCTTCTCTAGAAATACGTTTTTCTTCGATCCCAGGACTTTAGATGTGATCTCCCCTGACACAGGCAGTCCTTGCTCTCCCACCTCCACTTCTATATTTTTCTTTCGCATAGACGAAAGGGTCTAGCGCCCCAGCAGCCCCCACCGGCTTTCAAGGCCCTGACCGGGATCCTGCCTCACGGTCCCCACAGTAACCAGGCCCTGCTGCCGTCAATGGAGGAGAGGGGGCGGGAGACAGCAGTGACGTCAAAGCGGAGGAAGGGGGCGGGGCGGGGCAGCCGGGGAATGTGGGGCAGGGAGGATGGAGAGGCAGCGGTTTGGGAGGCAGCCAGCCCGGGAGGGCGGCGGCCAGCGCACTTGGGAACATCGTGTTCTTTTGGCTGGTGACCCAGGCCGTGCACCCAGCCTGGGCGCCCCCCCAACCCAACGACACCCGTCCTGTCCCAAAGCCAGGGATTCCTGGAGAGAGGATTAGGAGGAAGGGGTTCTCCCCCACCCCAGGCCCCGCTCTCTTCTGGAGACTTGCATCCGCCCTCCTCTCGGCCGATTCCTACAACTCCTGGCATTCGCTTTCCCCTTCTCCTGGACTGTACACATCTGCTGGCCGGGTCCCAGAGTTGGAAGCCCAGGTTCTGCAAGAGAACACGCACCTTTGCTCCTTCCCAGACGCCTCCTTCAGAGCTTGAAACTCTTGTTATTATGACAGCAGAGAGAGGGAGGAAGGGCAGGGAGGAGCATGAGTCTAGGATGAGGAAATTGAACTGGGACAGAGCAAGTGGCCCAGCGTGGTGCCTGGATCTTGCGAGAGGGAAAAAAGGGAGGAATGAGGCTTTGGGGCTGGTGCCTTGAGACCAAAAGAACACAGGAAGAAGGAAATGAGAAGGCAGTTACCAAAACTTGCAGAAAAACTTGAGAATAGTTCCCAACCACAATCTTTCACCCTGTCAGTTATTTTGTCACCCTACAGCCATTTTTTTTTAGCTAAAAAAAAGGTAAAGACATGAACTAGGGATTGTGCTGAGCACTTTACGTACATTATCTCATATATAATCTTCAGAGCAATCCTGTAGCATGGGAATCATTATCCCTATTCCACAAGAGCAACTAAGGCTCAGAAGTTACTTAACTTGCCTAAACGGCCCATAATATGTTCTTAGGCTCTTTAATGGTGCCCAGAGTTCAAATCTGAGCTCTGATAATGGCTTGTCATTTTAGCTTCTATCCTTCAGGAATCTGTGAGGTGTTAACAGCTCTGGGGAACCTGGGCCTCTCAAATATCCAGCTAATTCTACTTTGGTGCCTCAAATAGACTCCATCCAACTCCTCCTCTCCCTTGGGACGTTCAGTTTGCACTCTCCACACACTTCAAATCATCCTAGTCCCAGTTTTTACATACTCACAAAGTCCTTTTGATCACCCTAGTAGCCAATAGCCCCAGATTTCCTAGGAACCCCACTTTCTCACTCTTCCACCTTACCGCAGGTCACTTTACCACAGGCTGGGTTGCTTGTACAGATACCAGAGCATCCTGTTGGTGCCTCCTCACCTCCAGGAGCTCAGGGAGACACACGCACAGCCAATCTGCATCCTCTCTCTCAAGACCCAACATTTGCTACCTCACCTTTACTCTCAAGGATGGCTCCGAGGCCCAACCCCTCCCCTTTACACATGAGAAAGACATCCAGAGCCGTGATAAGACTGGCTCAAGACCACACAAACCATCACACCACCCTTTCTCAAATCACCATGTCAACCCTTTGGTACCCTCCCATCTGTCTTACCAGGGCCTCTCTCCAGCCTCCGAACCCCTGTCTCTTTCAAGTGCTTAAGGCACTTCCTCAAACAGCAGCCACCCATTGGAACGACCCCCACCCGCTCTCAGGGGTCCTGTCCCCCCGTACTCCTTGGGAGCAGAGGTCTTAGCTCCCTCAGTTCGCTGATGGCTTCTAAGCCCCTTCCCCCCAGCAATCAGGGGTCCAGGTACTGTAGAGCGGTGAGAGATCTGATGTCAGTACTCCTCTGGAGTTGAGTTCGCGGTTCCTATTCACCTTCACCGCAACCATCAGAGCTCCCACAGCAGCAATCAGGCATTCGCACGATCCCCGTCACCGCACTGTATTAAAACCCCTCCTGATAGAAAAACCCATACTGACCGCCGCTCCTCTACCCCAATGCCGGAGCACTCACCGCTCGGCGTGCACGCACAGCCTAATTTCTTCCCAACCAGCATCCGGACAGTTGGACTCGCTCCTCCAGGCCCGCCCACCGGCCGGATGCCACGCCCCTCAAGCTTATTGGCCTAAGGGCTCCAACCCATGCCCGCGCCGCGTGCGGGCGCCCAGCCCCCGCCCAGCCACCAATGGCACCGCCCACTGCCGTCATCTTCTCATTGGTCAGCTTGCCAACCAGCAGTGACAGATCCACGTGCGGGTGGGGCCGCCCTAGCGCGTTGATTAGACGTCTGGTAGAAGGTCACGCCCCCATCCACATCCGAAGTTCCCATTGGCTGTGGGAGCATCCCCGATCTGCCTGAATTGGTGACGCAAACTCCAGTCCTGCTCCTCAAATTTTCTCATAGGCTGATAGGGCTCGGAGCTGTAGAGGACACGTGCGGGCGGTCTCACGCGGCAACTTGTTTACCTAGAAGCTGGGGATTTTCCTTGACGACACGTTTACCCGACTCTGGAGTCTGCGCAGGCGCAGAGAGCGTGACCTGCACGCAGGCGCAGATGTGAGCGGCGGTGGCTTTGGTGGGGGGCTCTTTGTGAGGTGTTCCGGGAGTGACAAGAGACCCTCCGCGCTGGGACTCCGGAACCCAGTTTCTGAAACTCCCTGAAGCTGGAAGGTGCAAGCGAGCCGTAAAGTTAAGCGGTCTTCAGATCTCAGTGCCGCGTGACGATGACGACGATGACGACGATGATGGCGATAGCCACCTCCCAGATTATTTTCTGTGGGCCAGGCTATGCGCTTTTCACAATCCCGGAGGCGGCGGCTCACCTACTTCCTTCCCACCGCCTCACAAATGAGACCGCGGTCCAGACAGGTTACATAATCTATCCGGATTATCACACTAGTTTGTAATGGGGTCAAGATTTGAACCCAGGTCCCTGATACTATAAAGGCGGGTCCTAGGACCTACGGGAACTCTAAACCTGTAAAAGATTCAGTAGATGAAGCTCGAAAAGGCCCTAAGCAGTCTGGAAAAATTGTAAGGCCTCAACAGATGGTGGGCATTATGATGACTGTGTACCTAATTATAAAAAACATTATCAGTAGGGCCAAACTGTAAATTGTACAAAATTTTTTTTCTAAATTAGACACCTTATTAAGTCACCAAGGTTTAAAAAAAATCAACTGGGTCTGTTACAATTGCTGAATCAATCTTCAAGGAAGGGGCCTGAAAATCCATTTTAAATAGCATTCATGGTAATTCTTCAGTGCTGACAAGTTTGGGAAACACTAAGTTTCTGATGTGCTGAATCCTCATACTGCAGCCGAGAAAAGTGGGCCCTCTCGAGCTCAGTTAACACACCACCCACTGTTGAAGTGCCTGCGAGCAGGGATGCCAAGTAAGGGGCAGTGGGGCATCATGGAGCTGAAGATTAAGGGAGTTCAATGTGGGATCTAGAATCACCAGTTGGACAACACAGTGCAGGGGGTGGCAGGCCATCTATAAGCCAGCTCCACATCACACTTCGCTGGGTCTCTCTGAGCCATTTTGTTCAGCATTTATTAATCCCTTTTGGATGCTGGTACTACGCTAGACACAAAGGGGGAGAAATGTTTTACAGCTGTCCTACTTTGCCTAGGAGTAATGACCACGGGAGCAACTGCAGAGCACCTGCGAGTTAAATCAAGCGGTAGAAACGCGTCCGATAAACAGCAGGAGCATGCCCGCAGGGAAAGGGGGGGGGAGCTGTGAAGCCCAGACCTCGGGGTGCACCAAGCTGAGACACTAGGATCATGAACACTTCCTATTATCTACTCCTGGTGCCCCATCGTGGCCACTTTGGGTATCACACTTTGCCCTGCCCAAGGTCAAGCCTCTTGGCAAAGCTTAGTCCCTTCCAGATGTATCTTCTCAACCTTCCTGTTTAACCTGCAGATCCAATACCCTTCCCACTGGTTAAGGAAAGATCTTAGAAGAGACGCCACCTGGTTACTCATTACACATTTATTGTACATTTTCACAATCTGGATGCGCCACAGAATTGGGGGTGTGGGGTGAGGGAAGGGGGGGCAGGGGACACTGGGATAATATGGGGGGTCTAGAACACAGCACCCCCACCCCCAGCATCTCTCCCTACCCTTTCATACCACAGCTTAGATCTCCCCGTTCCCCCTCCACACAGAAACCTTGTGTGGGGGGAAGAAAGAGTTCAAGGGGTCCCCTCCAGTGGCAAGTTAAGGGACTGCACCCTCAGACCCCTAAAATTGTGCCATTTTCAAAAAATGAGACACTTCCTTTATCACTTTACCTAAGGAGCAGACAGCTCTCTCTGGGCTTGACCACCCTGGAGAGGGGCAAGAATCCACATCTTCCAGCAAGTCCCATACACACATTGGCAGTGTCTAGTACCCCCGCCCTGAATTCAGAGGGGGCAGTCAGAGGAGCTGGGCAGTGATGGGGCAATACCCCCCAAATTAGGGAGGAGGGTTTTCAGTCTAACCTCCAGCAGGGGTGGGGCCAGAGATTTCAGGCAAGAATTAGGGGGATTTCTCTGCCCTGCCCAACTCCTCCCCAAGGCAGTGATGACCCCTCACACACTGGTAGCCACCTCTCCCAAAAGAGATCAGATTGTGGCCAACCCCCCGACTCTCCTGGTGGGAGGAGGAGGAGGCAGCAGATCAGGCAGATGGGAGGGAGGGAGACCCCATGGGAATGTCAACTGTGTGCCCCACGTGAAAACTGGGGAGCAGGAATGTGGGGAGAGGCTCCAAGTGGCAGAATTATTGGTCCATCATAACACACTGAACTCCAAGACACTTACACACCAGCTGGGGGGAGGGAAAGGAAGGACAAGAGGTTTGGAAAATGGGAGTAGGGGAAGCAAACTGGACTAGAGGGGCTAGGAGGGGGCAAATTTGGGGGGCGAGAATAGCCTGGCTCCCCAAAAGCCCAGGCTCCCCACCATCTGCAAGTAATGTCATGCAAATGAAAGTGTGATACAAGGACCAACGGGGACTAACTCAGTAAAAAAAGAAACAGACTGAAAGAAGGAACAGAAGAGTGATGAGAGGGAAAAAAAAGGGAAACCAAAAGGGATGTCAGTATGCAAATGAATGCTAATTAACATGCTGGAAGCTCCCAGAAGACCTTGGGATTCTTAGGACCAAGAGGAACCAGTCTCAGAGCCTCCCAATGATGCAAAGAAGATGCACCTAGGGAGCCCTGGACAGTTTTTTGTCTTTTTTGTAGGGGGTAGAGGTATAGGGAAGGCCAGGGTGGGAGGAAGGATCAGCCAAATCCAAGGGAAGGAGGAGAGGAAGAGGGACTATTGCATAGCAGATGCAAATGAACGGATTTGGGGCTGGACAGGAAGAGAGGGAATGGGAAGAAGGAAAAGAGAAATGAGGTGATGGGATCTTTAGGAAGGGGTGTTAAGGACAACCGGAAAAATCTTCTAGTAATAAAACTACAAACAGACCAAATATATATAATATTATATATGTATAAATAACAGCTGGCTATTTACAAGGGGGCACACACACGACACACACACACGGATCCAGGGGAAGGGGGCTGGAAGATATGGCTGAGAGGTGGAGGAGCGGCTGGGGGGAGGGGGAGAGGCCCTTCTCTGGGCAGGGCAGGCTCCTCAGGGGTTTAAGAGCTGAAGTAAACTGTAGAAAGGAAAACAGAAGGAAGAAGAGGGAGAGGGGAGAAAGAGAAAGAGAGAAAGCAGTGTGTCAGGCCCAGCCCTGCTCCCACCTTCCCCACCTCCCAGGTGGCTGATGTCCCTTCCCCTCTTGGCTTCGGGTCCTCCATCTGTAAAGCAAGGAAGCTGGACAGGTCGGTTCCAAGATCTCTTCAACTCCACAGTATGGCCTTGGGGCCACAAACCCATAATCCTCTGGGCCTTTGAGATGACAGCTCTCAAACAATAGGGTGTTGGCTTCCTAACCATTTCTTCAAGCCCCTGGGTCTGTCCTGCTTTCCCACTCCCCATTCCAGGATTCCCAGACTGGGCTTTAGGCCCTAAGAGTCCTCAAGGGAGCAGTGGGGATCCAGTAGCTTTCCTATTTCCAAAAATCTTAACAGAAATTGCCAGAACCAGGCAAAGTGCAAGCTAAACAACATCAAGGTTTTGGGATCTAGGTGACTCAGAACTGCCACTGGCAGGCATATACGCTTTCTGCTGAATAGCAAAAACAAGATTAAGACCTTTAAGACCCAGAATCCAAAGGGCAAACCTCTCCAAAAAAGGGCTCTAACCACTCCCACCCTACTCACCGATGATGATGATGAGGATGATGGCGCAAATCACTCCCAAGATGATCATCATCTGGGGGTGAGAAGAGAGGGTCAGTGAGACAAACCATAGTATACCCATTCACCAACCAGTCCTCCTACTGCCCTCCTGCCCGTCTCCACCCTTACCTTGAGGTTTTTCCACCAGTATTTACGCTTGAGCTTGGCTGCACTTGTTTCAAACTGGGAGGCCCCTGCCTGCAGTGCATCCGCACGGTCGTCCAGCTCCGACAGCTTCTGGTCCCGCTCCAGGACCTTGTCCACGTTCACCCTCATGATGTCCACCACCTGGGGGAGAAGCCCACAAGGCAGGGGGGTGTGCCAAGGCCCACCTTAAAGGACACTCCTCGACCATGAGCCCACATATGGAATATGCACCTTGCTGTGGCCTGGCTAACACGCCAAGGACAAACACAGAACACACCTAGCATGCGTAGGGACATGCAAGGAGCACACATCAGGGGCATGCTGGTAGCCAAACATCTCAGATAGCGTAGCAGCACCTTCTATTTACCAAGCCTCAAGCAGCCTGCCCGTCACCAGAGCACACCCACCCAAGCTGAAACACCCCAAGCTTGCAAGGCTAACACCCCAGGGCTTTTCCAAGTGCAGGCTGAAGGGACAGGGAATGATACGATTTTGTACCCAAACTCATTAGCGTAAACTGCTGTCACCCTCAACCCCAAATGGGCCCCGACACCGGCTGCCAACCCTCAGGGTCCTTCTCACTGCCTTTCACATCCCCTACACTCACCTCATCCACCTGGGCCTGGGTCTGCTGCAGTCTCCTGTTACTGGTAAGGTTTGGAGGTGGCGCAGGGGGGCCTCCCTCCCCAGCCGGGGCGGCAGATGGGGCGGTGGCAGCGGTAGCCGACCTGAGGGGCAGGGACTGATTAAGACTCAGGGCCTGGAACCCTCGGCCCCGCAGCCAGGGCTCCGCCCATCCTCCTGCCCATCCATCCGTCCCTCCCTTTCTCCTTCCCGCGAGGAAGGCCACCGGATGGGAGCCCTGACCTCCGTCCCGGCCCGCGGGCGAGTTGCTGCGTGACCTTCAGTGAGGCCCCCTCCCACTCCGGGCCTCAGTTTCCCAGCCCGTCAAATGAGGGCGACCTCACAGACAAGGTCCGGGTTGGACCCGAAATGACCGACAGCAGCGATGACAGGGGCGGGGCGGGTGGAAGCCAGGTCCATTCCCTCCCGAGGCCAGCGCCCGCGCGGCCAGCCCGGGACGCGGGGCTCTCCCGCCGCCCGCGCGCAGTCACGGG